GTTCATAGGCTTGCAGCCTCCATGTTACAGCTAATGCTGTGAGATTTTATGTTTGTTTTGTCTTAAACATAAAATAACCTGATCCTGTTTGATCAAGGCATGCGACTGTTCTGACTTGTCCAATTTTCAGCATCAGTTTTTCATCTTGCATCAAAATTGTCTATTCATTGTATGCATTTGAAATATAGAGTTGGGTTTTGTTTTATTGTACCCAAGTGTACCTAAAATAAAAAGTGTTTAATATACAGGTTTGTGGCTCTTAATTTCCTATTAATTAACCATTTGTAATCTTATGTTCACTGTTCATTTTTTATAAATATAGGATTTGTATTAAATCTTCATTCATATAGTCAAATCGAATCGAGAATTGAAATCAAGAATCGAAATCGAATCGAAAATCGAAATCGAATCGAATTGAGAGCTTGAAAATCGAAATCGAATCGAATTGGAACATCTGAATCGATACCCAGCCCTACCTCTGAGACCCTCACACTCTCAGAGTCAGACCTGACCCACTCCAGTGATACTCCAGTTCTTACACAGAGATCATTCAGGTCTGGCCAGTCTGACCAGACACCAAAACCAACAGAGTGAGTGTCCAGTTCCCGCTGGGTTTTCTTTTGAAGCCAAGGAAGTGGGGCTCTGACTCCTTGGCTAACGGCACCTTGCGTCTCCTGAGGTCCAGGAACAGGGAGGATCGAGCCAGCTCCCTAACATCTTTGTCATCATTATTCAGCATGTTCAGAAGGTGGGAAATCCGCATGCTGAATCCATATCATGTTTGGTACCCCCAGTCCTCCTTCCCATTGGGGATGAAAAATAATGTCACGAGTGCTATGTGTATTTAGTTCAAACCACTTTCGCACTAAAATACAGACACACACACACACACACACACATATATGTGTGTGTGTATATATATATATATATATATATATATGAAGTATGAGCAACATAAGATTTGAATCTACATAGAATACTCAGATTTTGAAGTTTAGATTCAACATTTCAAGCAACAAGCTAAATTAATCTTAAAAGAAAGGTCTTTATAACCACTATCTATATCTCATTTCCGTCCTGATTTATTGCAGAAAATAAAAAGTTACCAGAAAATAGCTGGTAGCTATAAAGGGTTTTTGTTGTAACGCCTTATTGTTCAAAATGTTGCACCAAATAGAAGAGTACAGAGATGAGAGCTGAGCCCGGATTCTTTCTCTGCTATTCACTGTTGCTTAGCAAAATAGTCTTTTGTGTGTGCCACCAAATCATATTTTTATGTAACAGCAGCATCTATGAGTACATGAAAAAAGTGCGACTCTTATAGGTTGGCAGGTTGATGCATGCTAATGTTCGTGTCTGTCTAAACAGACACATGAATTGCTGTTCATTCAAATTAAAATGTTGATTGCAACAAATTTTCAAACCAAATATTTGTTTTGGTGTGAACAGGCCTTTAGCGTTGATTCATGAAACAGATCCACACAACCAAGTTTCCATTCCCTCTTTGGAACGAAATTGTAGTCTGATCTTAGTCTGTAGTCTGAACCAAAAAAAAAAGTCAGATCTTATAAAATCAGGATGGAAATGAGATATAGATAGTGGTTATAAATATAAAGACATTTCTTTTAAGATTAATTTGGCTTGTTGCTTCAAATGTTGAATCTAAACTTCAAAATCTGATTATACTTTGTTGATTCAGATCTTATGTTGTTCATAAAAGGGTGTATTCTACAATTTATAAATGTTTGCTTGGGTTTCATCCCAAGTCAATCAAAGCTCTCTAAAAAACAATAAATCTTTTGCATCTTGTTCAGAATGGACTGCAGAAGCACTGATTCTAAGAAAAACAAGAAGACTTTACATATCATCCCTTTTTCAGTGTCACTGGTTTCTTGTAGTATCATGGATAGATGGATAGATCTTGGGTTTATCTTGCTTCCTTTTAAATCTCTGAATGGCTAAGCACCAGCATATTTTTTTATGCCATTCTCGTAAGTTATGTATGTGTTCATACATGTGACCTGTGCAAATACCATGTTAAACAGATGCAGGTTTTTATGCTACAAAACTTTATTTTTAGTCTGCCAAGATGATTCATACTTGAGGCATTTGGTTGTTCAGCTCCTAAACACCAACATGTTTGTTTGTTTAATGCAAAAAAAATGTATTCACAATCAGGTTTATTCTTCCTAGGGTGGGTTCCCACATCTTTTCAGCTTGCCTCAGGGTAACCTCGTCATCCAATGGCATATGGTAGTCTTCATGACCACTAAAGACCCCTGCGTGTAGTCTTCTATGGAGCCTGACCAGGAAATTACTGGATGGCTGACCAGTCTGCACCTGTCCCAATATGCCTCCAGCTTCGCCAGGGCTGGCTACCGTTGCTTTAAAGACCTTAGGATCCTAACTGAGGAGAAGCTTTTTGAGGTCGACAATATTCCCACAGGACACCGGCGGAGGATCCTAAGCAGCCTGGAGACCCTGATGGTGGAAGTGGATGGTGGTAAAGGTTCTATGAAAGTACCCGCGAGGAGAAAGCCGATCCCAAGACCTAGACAAGTGTTTCCCAAGGCTAAGAAGAGAGGCATATCTTGTCAGAATTCTCAGGGCAGTAACATCCAGACGACAAAGCAAACTCTTCTTTCAGGGGCTAGTGTTACATGTTACACTGTTTCCTCCAGCTCTAGCTCCGCCTCTGAGCATGCCAGCAGCGAATCACTGGAGAACTTTTCAGAAGAACCTATTCCAGATGAGAATGATGACTTTCCCTCAGAAGGAGCTTCTGTAGGGTTTCAGGGAAAAATGGTTGAAAATGAAATATATGAGCAGTGCACCTTCATTAAGGAACCCTCTGAGCTGAGTTCTATCCTCTCCTATAAGCTACGACACAGGCCCATTCCAGAGATCCCCGAGCATCCCTTCAAACCTCCTTATGACTGGTGAGTTTTTTTAAAGTCTAGGTTGAGTATTTTTGGTTGCTGACACAATGGCACACAGGCATGGTTAACGCCAGCATATGTATTAAGTAGGAGTGTGACAAGACACTTAGCTCACAAGATGAGACCATACACGATATTGGGTTCATGAGAACAAGGTGAGACAATATTTGAACACTATTTTTAAGAAATCTCTAATCATGAAAAATATGACTGGAAAAGTAGCCTTTCATTTGAGTGAAAGTCACAAAATGCAAAACAAAGCAGGTGCATTTTGAAATGTTTTAACTAATCATCTTGTAATGAATGTCACATTGGTTCTACTTTGCATGTATGGATTATATGCAGTAAAACACAGGACAATATGCAAGCACTGTAAGAGGTTTTGCCATAAACTCAACTGACTGGCTTCACCCCTGTATGATTTCACACGAGTCTCTTCAGACTTTATAGCTGTGCAGAACTATGCATGAGCTTCTAACTTCTCTACCTGAACTCCTTTCCACAAATTATATAATAAATTGGGCTATAAAAAAGGCCTGTCAATTGATTACATTTGTAATCTAATTAATCACAAATGTATCGCAGATCAATTTTGTCTGAGAAATGACCCCCGAAAAGATAATTTAACATCATTATTGTTTTAAATGAGTAAAGCATTCTTTAGAAAGGAATATGTTCATGACTTCCAAAAGCAAATGACAAAAAGTATGTAACGCTTCCTGTATGTCAGGATGCAGGCTAGATAATGCTGGTGGAAAAAATAAAGTGCTTTGAGAGATCGCATAGTTGCCCATAGTTGAGAAAATACTGTAGTACTATTCACAAGTGATGCATGTCCTTCAGTGATCAGCGCATGGGCATACTTTGGAGTTCTAATTTGGGTGTCAATGAATGGGACTGTAAAATGTTTTTTTTTTATCCATTCAATCAGAAATGCACAAAACTTTCACACTTTTCTCCTTACAAATGTGTGTGCAGGAACGTGGCAGCAAATAACAACAGTGACCATCTCTCAAGGTCTGAGGGACACGCCTGCCCCACAGGCAGTAAGAAAGGTACAATACTTTTCACTTTATTTCAACTTCAGTGGTTTATATATTTGTTCTGATTTGTGATCCTGTTAAAATAAATGGGATGCAGTCTCTCAATGGAATTTGCTTTTATCTTCTAGTGCATGCATGAGGAGAAGCCTAGTTTGCCAAACTTATAGCAACTTGCTTATGTATGTGTGTCTTTGAAACTGCTTTTGGCTTTGAAATGTAATGTTCCATTGTGTCCCTGCTCTGAACATGTCGCAGTGTTTGTAATTGTGTCAGGAAAGGTGCTTTTAGCTTCCTTGAGGAATAGTTTGGAAATTGTTTGCATGTGACTGTGTGTGTGTAGTTGGGAATTGGGAGCTACACTGAAAGGGATAGTTCACCCAAAAATGAAAATTCTGTCATAATTACCCTCATGTCGTTCCAAACCCATAAGACCTTTGTTCATCTTCTGAACACAAATTAAGATATTTTTGATGAAATCTGAGATCTTTCTGACCCTGCATAGACAGCAACGCAAGTACCACGTTCAAAGCCCAGAAAGGTAGTAAGGACAACGTTAAAATAGTCCATGTGACATCAGTGGTTCAACCGTCATTTTATGAAGCTACGAGAAAACTTTTTGTGCCCAAAGAAAACAAAAATAATGACTTAATTCAACAATTCTTCTCTTCCGCTGCCCTTCATGAGAGTACCACGACGCATGCATGTGGTGCTGCTGTGTTGCGCACAAAAAGCATTCTTATAGCTTTATGAAATTACGGTTGAACCCCTGATGTGACATGGACTATTTTAACAATGTCCTTACTACCTTTCTTGGCTTTGAATGTGGTAGTTGCGTTGCTGTCTATGCAGGGTCAGAAAGCTCTCAGATTTCTTCAGAAATATCTTAATTTGTGTTCTGAAGGGTGAGTAATAATTAATGACAGAATTTCAATTTTTGGGTGAACTAATCTTAATCAGAAACCAGGCTTAGGTGTAAAAGTGGTTTAATAATGCCTATACCAGGGGTAGGCAAGTTCGGTCCTAGAGAGCCGCAGTCCTACTTGCCTACCCCTGGCCTATACCTACTAGATCTACAACCAAATTCTGTTCTAACTTTCTGGAGACTAAAATGTAACAGAAAGGTACAAGGTAGAGGAAACGTTTTAAGTGTAGAGCGGGAACAGAGAATCAGTTTGCAACAGAGAAGAACTTTATGATCAGAGATTTACACAACTGTCCTGAAAGAGGTTCTTGTGGAAGATGGATAAAACAGGGCAGAGAGAGAGAAAACTAGAGTGAGCGTATCATCTGTAGTTAGAAGGTCAACTCTTGATAATGATAAACGATGACACTGATTTGAAATGACACCTTTGCTTCTGGGTTAAGATGTGATACAATACAGTACAGTTCTATCATAGATAACATAGCGGCATCTAGATCAAACACCCTACAGTAGGGTCTTATCTAGTGGGGGGCCCTGTCTATTAGCTATATATCTATGTGTGTGTCTGTCCGGAGGGAACAGTCTGGAAGTCATGCTGCCCCTTACTGTCTCCGCAGAGATATGGTGGTCATTTGTCACCTTGACAACTAGTCACCCAAGCTGCTCCCTCTTTGGTACATTTTCCAAGCTGGCTACGCTAAAGGACAATGTGTGGGATCTCATTTTATGCTTGTTCTTTTCTCTCTCTTGCCTCATTCTTTGTCTTACTCTTTCTCCTTTGCCCTCCTCCCAGAATCAAACTACAAAACCACAACCTGCTTTGTCATAATGATTCATTCCTGTTGTGTTAATTACAGCATCACTTCAAAGGACCTTGTCCCCCATTGTCCCATATGGAGAGCTTTTTCTGTACAATTCAGCAGAAATAGAAACGGTGAGTGTATACAAAACCTGCCTGTGCTGGAATTTGTTGTGTTAAAATGAACGTTACATTACATAACATGATTTACAATAACCTCACATGTAGAGCACGAGTTACAGTTTCAGTAAAGCCATTTTCATACCTGGAACATTTGTTTTTAGAACCTGCCACGTTTTCTCCCCTACTTCAGTTTATTTAGCCATATATGAACATGGCAATTGTGCTGGGATCTGCACCAAAATATCTGGTCTGAGGTCGCCTTAACAAGGTGGTCTCGGCCCAATTGAAAACAAACTCTGGAGTGCTTTGCTTGTGATGAAAGAGCAGTCTGAGCCAACAGACCAATGAACCAAGCTGTGTCATCTGTGCCATAATTCATAACTGAAAGTGTGTTAAGTAAAAAGCAGCAGTGTCTAATTCTGTAGGTGAGCACATTACTTATTGCACTTGAAAACCAAAGAAAAATCTTAAAATGTCATTACTCTTCTCTAAAAATGGGTGCATTGCAAAAATGCTGTCCCAACAAAGCTTTGATTTCCACTCTTACTGAGAAATTATATATATGTAACATTAAGGTACGCTTTGAAATGTTGCCTTGTGAAAGCTAAACAAACCAAGAAGACAGGACATTGTACAAAATTGCATTAAGACACTCATAACAAGGGTGAATGGTATTTGAAAACATAATTTAGAAAATAGGCTTGCTTTTAGTTTCATCTTGATTGCATTTGTTTTGTCAGGATTTGGGCAATGATGTAATGTCCAGTCAAGGAGTAAAAGAGAACCTGGAACAACAGAAGTTAAGGTGAACTTCGGTGTCCTTTGGCCTGTTTTTTAAGTTAAAGTGAAAGTGAAGTGGCCAAGTATTGTGTCCCATACTCTGAATTTGTGTTCTGCATTTAACCCATTCAAGTGCACACACACACACACACACACACCTGGAGCAGTGGGCAGCCAACCGGGTAGCAGTTGGGGGTTCGGTGCCTTGCTCAAGGTAATAAATCGTGGTAATAAATTTGTACGTGAAGTCCTCTAATTCTTGTTGATTTCTGTGATTTCAACATGGTTTGTAGATTTTCATATGGCCACTGTGTTACTCAGAGGATCTCTGTAAACAGCATTGTGGTTTGCAGGATATGCTGGCCAGGTGTAATAATCAGCACCATGGGTGTGAATTAATTTTCAATAATGAAAGTGTTCATTATCAAATATTCTTACCTTTTGGGTAAACTATCCCTTTAATGTTCTTCAGGAACAGTGTTCCTTTTGCTAAATATGGTCATCATTTGAAAGAACATAAAGCAATGGAAATGAAGTGAAGTTACTTACCTAATCATTGTAAATGTTATTATTTTGCCCTTTCCTTATGCCAACTTAACAAATTATTTTAATAAATTTTTTTTTAGAAACAAGCAGACACAAATAACAAGAAGCAAGACAATAACACACAATAACAAGAAGCAAGACCTTTCCAAGCAACATTATGTCGATGATGATGATGATGATGATTACTCCACTGTACAAGAATCCACACTTAGTCAGCGCTTGGCTAATGAATGCTCTTTTAAACAACCTACACCGTCTACTCTTCTCTCGAGCACTGGACCATCAGCTTTAGCCCAGCCACAATCAGTTGTACAAGACATATACCGTATGGTGCAAGATGACATACCGGGCCTACTGAGACCAAACCTTCCTTCTCAAACAGAAGTTTCCATTTCTCCCTATGCCTGCTTCTATGGGACCCGTACTGCAGCCACCAAAGCAGGCTGGCTAGACAAACTCTCCCCTCAAGGGTAAGGACCATGCAGACCATGCATTTTTTAAGGATTATTCTTGAGAATGCTGCAAGTCAAGTACTAAAGCACATATTAAAGTATCAATGTTAAGGAATAGTTCACCCAAAAATGTTGTTCTCCATACTTTGTTATTTTATATTTGGAGCGCAGAAGGTGCACTTCATGCAGCTCTTTGCCATTCAGTTCATATGACCTTATGACCATGAAAGTAGTCTACATGACTCATGCACTGCATTTCAATTCTTCTGAAGGCACACAACATACTTCACACCGCAGTGAGCTGGCTGCGAAGTGCCCAAACCTTTAGAGCTTGAATCCACTGTAATGGTCATGACACAATACAATACATGTTTCACATTTAGCAGCAATGATTGCTAAATGCTCCAGTTCTAAGAGCAGTAAACAATGGCTACTGCTTGATATTTCATGATTTATTCAAATTCAAAGAATCAAATTATGGTGGATTTTTGTTATCTTGATCAGCTTGACATCGCGTGCTGAGTCAGTTAACATGTTGATTCTTTAATTGCAAGGTGTCCTTATTCTGCTTAGCTTTTTAAAATGATTGAAAATGTGTCATTAAAATATACATGATGGCGTTGAGATGAAGGTACCACAGAAGTTTCTGTTTTTTTTACTTTTCATTTCCATTTGGATGTTACAGCTTAGATTTTAAGAATAAAATTTCCTCCTTGTTAAAAAGTTTGGGGTCAGTGAGATTTTTATTTTTTAAAAAAAGAAGAAAAAAATTAATACTTTCATTCAGCAAGGATGCATTAAATGGATCACAGGTATGTATGATGTATACATTGTTAGAAATTGTCATAAATGGTGTTCTTTTGAACTTTCTATTCATCAAAGAATCCTGAAAAAATTTATGATTGTTTCTAAAAAAATATTAAGCAGAACAACTGTCTTCAACATTGATAATAGAAATGTTTCTTGAGCACCAACTGACACTGAAGACTAGTAATGGCTGCTGAAAATTCAGCTTCGCATCACAGGAATACATTTCATTTTAAAATGTATTCAAATAGCAAACTATTTTTAAATTGTAGTAATCTTTTACAATATTACTGTTTTTACTGTATTTATGATCAAATAAGTACAGTCTTTATGGGCATAAGAGACTTCTATCAAAAACACACAAAAAAATCTTGCTGACCCTTATAAATCATTTTTGAAAGCAAGTGCACAATGCATCAGCAGAGGCGGACAAAAACTTGCAGCGTATTTCACACTTTATTTTGGTATTAGTTTCTGCACATGCTACACCCACCAGTAAAAACTGCCTTCCTGTTTAATTTTTTTTTCTCTTCCTCTTTGTGCTCAATGCTTTATTTTGCTTGTTGACACACCACAATGCCAGTTGCATGGTAGCACTGGCTAAAATACTTCATTTTGTTTCACATGGCCCTGATAATAAACCCCCAATAATTATTATTTTAATGTTGTAACATGAGTAATGATGTTTTGACTTTTGTCAGTATGACACTTTGTTTTGTACTTGTAGGAACTATGTCTTTCAGAGAAGATGGGTGAAGCTTGAAGGAGGAAATCTCACTTACTACAACAGCGATAAGGTGACACACACACACACACACACACACACACACACACACACACACACACACACACTCTTGTATTTGTGGTTTA